TTTACAGTCTGGTCTCCGTTCATTAAACCCATGCCTCAAACTTAACAATCTCTAAGGTCTCTATTGGCTCTGTTGACACATGTTGTGCTGTAAAGCTTCTCTCAGGCTGTAAATGCATTTCTTTCCCTGGATATAGCTGAATATTAAGAAGAAGGATTGGTGGTTAGCACAAAGCTCTCCAGCACTTGTCCAGAAGCATCTGAACCAATTGCTATTAAGTTGTATCTTCTTGCATGTATCTTGGAGCAAGGTTATAAATGAGGTTATCTTTATTGCTTTTGTTCTGAGACAACCAGCTCTCCCACAAAATATGGGAAGAGAAGAGCACCAGGGACGTCATCTTAAAATGTCAACATCCTTTCTCAAGTGCAAAAGAAATAAGTGTTTCCTTTTCACAACATGCAGGAAAGAAAGGTCCAAATTCCTCCCAAGTTCTCAGTTGGGAAATCAAGGCTTAATCCAGGCCTCAGGATCCAGGAAATGTAGGTTTTGCTAATATTATTAACCTCATACATAAAATTCTGATGCAGGAGTTTTCTTCTCCTTCCCTCTCTTTCTGAGGGAATTACTTTACACAGTTTATAACTGTCGTTGCATTTTCTTCAGTCCTGCTATGCCACATCAGGTTTGTTCCAAAAATATATCTGTTTACTCAGCTAGGAAAAATTAACTTGCATTTTCAAGTTACATATGAAAAAGCAGTTTGATATCAGATAACATCATTCACAGAAACAATGTGAAATTTTATCAGCTCTTCAGAGAACATATTACCACTTTTTACAACTGATTGTTTATTTGGAGAAATCTTTAAAAGTGACAAAAATGTAATGAGGCCAAATTCATTCCATTCTTGCATAAATTCTTGTACTTTCTGCTGTTTCTTAAATAACTCGGACAATACCACTTTTAATTGGGACAAATTATTCTGATTCCAAAACTTCAGAGGAGGCAATTAGGCAGGAGGAACAACTTTCTTAGAGATAGGGATTTCTCTAACCACTATTACATCCCTCCCCCCCCAATCTTAGTCCTAGCCACAGTAAACTCAAATTCTATAGTCCAGTCTTTTTCAACCTTGGCAACATTAAGATGGGTGGACTTCAACTTCCAGAATCCCCCCAGCCATCACTGCTATAGTCCATTTAGTCTTACTTTTAATTGAAATGTGCACCGGTCCACTGTGGAGGCTGAGCCTGAACAATTCTCAAGTAATATTCACTTGGAACTTTACCCAGTCATGCCATTCCAGAAGTGGAGGATTTCCACAAATAAAGTCCCTGCTTCTGAGTCATCTTGCCTGAATGGAATCTGCCCTTAAAGAGATATGTGGTGTTGTCACACAACACCACAGAATTCCAGATCATTGGCTAAAGGCCAAGCAAGTTGCCAAATCAAGATCACTTATTCCAGAACTATAAAAACCATGGGCCTTTGGAGCCCAAATGCAGACTTTAATAGGTCCTATTTTGTCTACAGTGGATGTGAAAATAATACATTTCCTCCATAGATTGTGTTGCATTCTTAATATATATGTAGCATTGCTGAGCCCATTGAAACTATATTTTGTGATAAACTGGCCAACATTTGCAGAATATAATAAGCCAAGGCTGTCAAACCCGTGGCCAGATGCTTCACATGCTGGGCATGCCCATGCCAGGTTTAACAAAGGGGGAAAAAGCTGCAATATGTTATGTGTCACCGCGAGTTTGATACCCCTGCAATAAGCCAAATCTGGCTTTTACCTCAGGTAAATAAGTTACCCAGTGATATGACAACAGGGGATATAGGGAAACAGTGGCTGTCCTATCTACATTGGGAAAAGTCAACTTGGGCAATATCTTAGTTGTTTTGGTAGTGGCTAATAAAATGTTATCTCGCTTTTCTTTTGTATGGATAAAATACGCAAGGAATCATGGTGGCGCAGTGGATAGAATGCAGTACTGCAGGCTACTTCTGCTGACTGCCGGCTGTCTGCAGTTTGGCAATTCGATTCTCACCGGCTCAAGGTTGACTCAGCCTTCCATCCTTCCAAGGTCAGTAAAATGAGGACCCAGATTGTTGGGTGCAATATGCTGACTCTGGAAACTCTGGCTGTAAAAGCACTGTGAAACAGTATATAAGTCTAAGTGGTATTACTAGTGCTACCCAATGGGAATTTAACACATCAAAAGTGGCATAGGAAGTCTTTGCTTCCCCATAACTTTTCTGCCTACATATCACAACCCTGTTTACATATTATAATCTTTCAATTTTCTGTCCAGGGCCAGAAGAGAGCATTAACCTCAGGTTAATCCTTACTTCTACAATGTGAACAATCAAAGAAGTTCAGGATTATGTAAACTGTCTGCTGGCT